GCAAGCTTGTCTCAAACGAGGTGGGTGGAAATCTCATCATCTCTAATCAGCAAAAGCACATTTGAAGAAAACCAGGGGAAAAGTCACTCTTCAGTCCAAAAGCGAGCAATCTCTGATAGCTGGGGCCCAACAGAAGTGATTCGGGAACACACATTCTTACGGGAATCTGTTTGGCTGAAGTTATAGTCTTGAAGCAAAAAGCCTAACAAACACACATATAATCTAAGAAATGTAAGTGTACCATGCAGAAAGGCATGCCAAGGTGTCCATCCTTAAACTCGGATTAACAGGAGTGAATGATCATGGTTAGTGCTATCTTGGTGTGTTTGCCTCATTTTTCTGTTGTATAAGTAAATGCTTAGCCAGATTTCCCCTTAAATCCTCAAATTTTGGAACAAAATAATCTAAATTGCAGACAGAAAAATTGCTGGCCATGAAATAAAGAATACTGGGCATGATGTGACTCGATTTTCCTGTGCTTTGTTGTGAATCTCCATTTCTACTCCAACAAAATAGAGATAACAATACTGGCCCAACTTCACAGGGATGCTATTAGAATTAAATCAAATGCTCTGTGCGTAATTACATTTTATACATATTTATCATCCCAGATATGTGCTGATTAATATCTGTGGAAGAGATGAAGAAGCCATACTCAATTCCTTCAAAATATAAACATCACATAAGGAAATTAAGAAGAATCTAGGAATTAAAAATATTCCTAATGTGTAATGCTTTTATTGCACTTTATTTTATTTTATTTTTGTGTGCGTGTGTCTGCATTCTGAAGCACTATGCTATTACAATGCCCCAATTTGGACACATCACAGAACACCAATATAGGTATTCTTGTCATCTTTTATCATAGAAGAAATTGAGGCTGAGAAAATATATCTGCATTGCTCAGGGTCTTGAAGGAATAAATAAGTACATAGGTTTCATTATGGGAAATTCAAGCCATACATTATGTGAAACTACCAAAGTAAACAGAAACGCCAATAGCGAGGTCCAGGATGAGAACATACAGGTCTTGACTTTGTGGAGAGAAGGTGAGGAGGAAGAGAACCAAATATTGAGTAAGATGAATTCCAAAGAGCAAATTTGTCTTTGTTTCAGATTTTAAGGAAAAGTTGGCTATTTAAACTTGATGGTGTTTTCCATCTAATTTAGAAACTATGTAAATAAAAAAGAGGTTTGAATATAACGTAATGTTTTTTTGCTGCTAAAAGCATTAGGAAATAGACCACTTGAGGTCAGGGTAACACCAAGAAGAATTTCCCAGCACTAAAACGAACCACATTGCAAGCTCTTTTTAAGTGCTTAGAAACGACTTGAAACCACTCCATTTATGTGAGGCTTGAGAAGCGAAAGGGGCCTCCTGTGAACTTTTCAACCACACAGAGGAGTGTGCTTTAAGAAAATATATTCAGAATAATATAACACGTTCTAAATATAAACTGGTGAGTCTCCTTAAGAACAAGTGTCAATAAAACTTGTTGTTTCTGTTAAAAAATCAAAATAGTTCAAGCTTCAGAAAGCCATCATAATTAAATATCGTAAGTTTAATGCTTTTTATATCGTTTTAAAAATATTTTTATTGATTTCAGAGAGGAAGGCAGAAAGAGATAGAAACATCAATGATGAGAGAGAATCATTGACCGGCTGCCTCCTGCATGCCCCCTACTGGGGATCAAGCCCGCAACCTGAGCATATGCCCTTGACTGGAATTGAACCCGGGACCTTCCAGTCCTCAGTCCAATGCTCTACCCACTGAGAAACACCAGCTAGGGCAAAAGGTTACTCTCTTAATGGAATGAAATGTTTTAAGGCAACCTGTGGTGACTCCTCATTTAATTTTGTGAATAAATGATGCTTTCAAAATGTGAGTTTTCATGGAAAGCATGTGAATAGAGCCAAGTACACTTGAAACTCTATTTCAAGTGAAGTCAAAATTACCAGAGAGTGCACATTCTGTTCAGATTTATACTAATTCTGTTGGGACCTCTGTATTCTGAGCCTTGGGACACAGTCATAACGGTCACTTTTCCAAACTGTTGCTTTTCTGACTTTATCGCTTTTCAACTTGTTGCTATAGGCAGTTGATCTTTATTACAAACAAAATAGAAAGAGGCATGGATACATGGAACAGACTGACAGCTGTCAGAGGGGCGGGGGAGGGAGGACTGGATGACAAAAGTTGAAGGGATTAGCCCCAAAACACCTATATATAATACATAGACACAGACAACAGAGAGGGGATAGCCAGAGGGAAAGGGGTGGGGGCTGGGTGGAGGTGGGCAAATGGGGGAAAAGGACTTTGCTTAGATGGGCACAGGATGCAGCATACAGATGATGTTTGGTTGAGTTGTACACTTGAAACCTTATGGTTTTGTAAACCAATGTCACCCCCCAAAATTCAATAAAAATAAAATCAAATAAAGGATGAAGTCAATAATCCCCACAGATAGTATAGGTATGTGAAATTGGCTTTTTCTGTAGGAAAAGAAATCTGGAGGTGACCATTGTGAAGATAAGGACAGTGATGAATGCATACTCCTCACCTCACCGTCCTGTCTACCTGCCTTATGTACTGGAACAAAGCACCTTACCATGCTCGTGTAGGTCACCTCTGTTTCTATTAGTTGTGTGGCTTGAGTAAATGGCCCACATTCTCAGGACTTTAGTTTCCTCATCTCAAAAATGTGTACAATATTCATGCTCCTTGAACTACAGCATGGATCACAATTAAATAAACATATGCTCACAGGTGAATTGCAAGATAATTACAATTGAGTATTCTTTCTTAAATTATTCTAAGAGCAATTTACTAGTTGCTTCCTGATAGAGATCTAAAGTTTACTCGTCTCAGTGTTAACTTAGATAAATCTGTCCACTTTATCTTGCTTTTCCTATAAAAAAATATTTTCCCCACTGCTGATGCTAAAGTGAACTATGGATTGTATAGAAACATGAAAAAGAAAGCACACTGCTGTTTACTACTCGCCTGCAACGCAGCACGCTACGCACCAGTACATGGAGGTTCTCTTATGCAATCCTCTGAAATAATGCCTGGGATGTTACAGATGTGGGAAAGAGTCTCAGGGGGGTCAAAACTTACCTGCTGAAATTAATATACTCCAAAGTTGGGATTTTTGAGTCTGTCTGATTCAAAAAGTTCTGACCTTTGCTAACTGCACTCAGCAGCAACGATTAGTAACTTCCCTCGTTGAAAGGGAACCAGTTAGGGTTAGGGCTAGGGTTAGATTAGGGTTAGGGTTAGGGCTCGGAGTAAATTCAATATTCTGAATTTAAGGTAACTTCAATGGTTAACTTTACAACATATGTGGAACTTGAACAAAAAAACCCCACTTATTGGGAAACAACCTTTCCAAAGCTTGCGTAACTCAAGGGAACTTAAGGAACAGTACTTAAATAGGCTTCTTGATCAATCAAGTCTGCTCTTCCCCCCATCAACAATGACAAAGGAGACGTTTTGGGTGATTTCAGCGAGTGCAAGGAACCAACAATGGGGCATTGAGCTATACTATTTAAAACCTAACTCTCAAACAAGCAAAACCTTCGGTCAGGCCTACTACTTCCAAGTATTGGGGGAATACGACCAACTTCATAAAGCTGTGACAACTAAAGTGATTTCTTATCCCGAGAGAGGTCTTAAGAATTCTTCAAATATATAATTATTTGTATTTTTGAATTACAGAAAAAACAGCAAGCTTCTTATAGAATTGCTTTCTCTAGCTCCCGAGGCAGAAGAAAATGAAGTCCAAGTCATTAGATGTCGTTCCTGAGGACGACAGCAAGAGACCAATGAGTACCATGGCCTTCCTCTTTCATCTCCCCAGAGGCGTAGGCTTACTTCTGTCTTCCTGGCCACAGAAAAGTCAAATCTTCCTGTCATTCTACCATTTGAAGAGAAGCAGACCTAGCTAAGGCCTTGGGCACTGCCCTATTTGCCAGCGACAGAAGGTGTTAATATGTTCACCCGGTCCATCTTCCCTCTCACTCCTTCATTAGAATGGAAGTGAAGATGGGGGGCCTAGAAAGGTTTCTCCCAACCAATTATTTCCCTCTGAGGTTCTACCTTCTAAAAAAAATTTTGTGACAGAAATGGACATTTTTATAAATTTGGATAGGTTTTGCCCAGAAAAAAGTCACGCCCCAAAAACCAGCTAAATAAATGCGTACACCATCTTGGGCTAATTCTGACTGACAGTTCATAAAACAAATCTCACCCAATTCTTTCTGCCTGATGTTCCCATAGCTCAAGGATATATATTATGAAATGAAATTAGATCGAAACTTTTAACTTTAAGCATTACTTTTTAGTGGAGTCAAGTTCGGTTGGTTTGAAACCCTGTTGGGTATATTTTTGTTACAGGGTTTGAAGACCACTGGAATCATTATGGTTTCAATGATTTCAAGAAGCTTATTTCCCAGAGCATGAATTTTTGGACACACTTGTTTTTGTTGCTTTCTTTAATTTAGGCAAAGCCTTTGAAATCAATCTTTAGACTAGAGATTTTTTTTGAATTGCACAATTCAAGTTTGTGGCTCTCTTACCATTCCAATGGATGTAACTGTGCCTTTTTATTCAGGAGCTGAAATTGCTCAAAAACATTTAAAAGAGAGGAGTGTTGGGTCAGGACTGAACGAGCTTTTCCCATAGGATTTGCAGTGTCATAAAATTCACGCATCCAAGACTGAATCCCGGGAGAAGTTGATGGAAAGAGCTGAGAAGGAATATTCAAAGACAGAATATCAGAATAAGTGGTATACAATAAATTTAAAGGTAGTATTACTAAGAAAGTAGTTTATATTCAGATATTTAAAAAATCAGTATTTATTGAAAATCCATTTTCAGTACCATAATGTAATTTTCTATGTAGTTATCAAGGTAAATGCCACTTTTAATATGGCTCTCATTTTTTTGATGATCCTATTTCCAAATGGGGTGAGTTTTTGTTCTCTTTTCATTGAATGTAAATAGATTTCTCCTTCCTACAGATACCTGAAAACAGCTGAGTAACAGGGTGGGTCAGGCAGCAGGAAGAATGAGTAGGAATCCTCTTGTGTTACAAGTGAGTTACATCGAAGTGAGAGATATTAATCCTACCAAAAAAATCTGCATTCTCTTTCAACTCTCACAGTATATAAATCGCTGTGTGCCCTTTCTCCTGTGAGGTAATTCATTAGTTCTTCCCCACATTCTGCCAAGAGATGTTCTTGACATTCACAACATCTTAAGTGATGAATTCCTGAAGAATGAGACTAGGTCTCTGATTATCTTTGTATAGTATGAAGCCAAACTGCCATGAGTGTAATACTATGTTTCCAATAATTAAAGTGATGATCCATGCATTTAATTATCTTTGGGGCAATAAGCTTGCTTTGAACTCTCCAACATATGGGGCTAAATATAAAAGCAAATAGTAAATTGGTTATAACTCATACAAGTAGCATATGAATACATGATTTCTTATAGTAAGAAATAAATATTTGATCCAAACACATTAATAACACATTATCAGTGGATTTTTAAAAGTGCTGTGTTAAAATGTTTTATATAAACATCTTAGGCAGAAAAATACAAATTCATTATAATCTATCTATACAAGTGGCAGAACTAGAAACAAAGCAAGTAATGAGAATGCACATATACGTATAAATTATCCTTTGATCAATAAATTAACAGAACCCAAGAAAATACATAGAAAAACATGGTATTTTTAAGGCTGAATCCAGTAAAAGTTATTATAATTATTTAATTACTGGAGGCCTGATGCATGAAGATTCGTGCAAGAATGGGCCTTCCTTCCCCTGGTTGCTGGCACCGCCTTCGCTCTGGCCTGGAGCCACCTTTCCGCCTTCCCATGCTGCCCAGAGGCCCGGAGCGGCTGGGGTGTTCCGCATCACCCCCGGCCACTCAGCACCTGCGTATGGCAAATTAACCTGCCATCTTTGTTGGATTAATTTGCATACTCACTCCTGATTGGCTGGTGGGTATTGTGAAGGTACAGTCAATTTGCATCTTTCTCTTTTATTAGTGTAGATTTTCTTTCTTACTTTAAATTTTCTTATTTTGGTGGTGAGTTATAACAAATTAAGACTTAGATAGTTTTCCTAAATATTATTATATTCAATAATATTTGATGTTACACAAGGGCATAAGCAGAAAAAATTTTGGTCACATGATAATATCCCAAAGCTAAAAGCGAAACTTCTTTAGAAATTTGGATATTTTCTCCTTAAAAACTGTCAAATCCTGGCAGCTTTAACAACCTCATATTCTTTTAGCTTTAATAAGACATATTATTTATAAACTCTTCAAGAATATGGGCTCTTCTCATCTTCATATATCTTTGAACAGAAGAAAGGAGTTTACAAAGATTTCTGTTCCTTAAAGAAATATATTCACCTAAGTTAAAATCAAAAGCAAGCAGTTTATGGCTGATTTACTATAACCTCAGTAATCAAGATGAATCAAATGGCACTTTTGTTTTACCAGTTGGAATTGCCCCAAGCTCCCAAGTTCCTTTATGAAAGTCATAATTGAATTAATCTCCTCTAAAGATAGGCATCGATTCAGTTCCTTTTTGTAGTTTTCACCCTGTAAAAAGGAGGGAAAAAACAACCCTTAAGCATTTGCTACGGCCCAGTTGCAGCCCACTTCACAAACCAATGAAATTTTGCACTCTGTAAATAAACAGCTGGGCTAATGAATGCTAACTAATACATAATAACTTCAACCCATGACAATGGTGTCTGCATGTAAGAGAACTTCATATTTGACAAAGAGAGCCTGAATGAAATTGCTCTGTTAGTAAGGCTGGGGAGAGGGACCCAAGAGGCAGAAGGTGTCGGGCATTGTCCCCTTTAGCCTCCAGGTACTAGAGAATGCAGCAGCAACATATAGAGAATGGTAACATACCTAGTAATCTGTACAGATATTTCTGAGGCCCCAAGAACACTTCTATTTACATTCCACAAAAACTAATCAATGCACTATGAAGTATTATATCCTAATCATCTCTTTCTAATCTGTTAACCAGATGTGAATGTTTCAAAAAATTAATATTATAACTCAAGACCCTTGATGTCAACCTGGAACACTCACTGCTTTCTAGACTGACTCCAAAAAGTTATGGTACTCCTTTTATTCTATAACATATAATATGTATTTGTCATAATATCTGCAAGTGTTCCTTATGAATTAGGAACTACTTTTCTTCATTTCAACTCATAACTTTATCATAATTAGTCACATACTTAGCTGACACAAAAATAATATTGGTCCTCAGATGGAGAAAAATACTAAGAAGTGTAATATAACTGATACAACTTCATTGCAAATGAATTATCAAGTTGCTTAATTACACCATAAAGAAAATAGAATCTTGTAAAGAATGACTTGGAAAAAAATATTTGTCAGTACAAAAATATGCACTTACCTTGGATACGGCTGATCTGTAGAGTCTCTGAAATATCTCAGAGAATATGGAAAGTGAAGAGTCATTCAAGAAGAGAAAATTGAAAGTGTCTTTTAAAAGAAATTCTTCTGTGTTTTGGTCCTCAAAATCCATATTATCGTCATCTTGAAAATGTAAATTCCCATGCACCTGTGAGAAAGGAGAAGCACAACAAATATATTTCATTGACTTACTTTTACTGCAGTGTCACTTCTAAGACATGATTCATTTCCTGTTGGATTGCAGATCAGAACTGACATCTAGTGGTCTTTTTGGAGGTCAACAGTTTCATAAAATGTAATTTTATGAATTGTATTCTTTCCAAGATACAATTCTTTGTAAGAAAATTAACTAATGGATTATAAAGTCACATTAGATTAGTTTGAAACCATTGTTGAAGAACTTGTGTGCATGGAAGATAACATATAACATTTCTGAACAATACATTTCAAAGAGCATAACAAACTTTTAGATCTGTGCAAAATGTTGAATGACCATTATAATACATAAATTCATAAAGTTTTAAAATTTTATGGATAAATCTTTGAACATTTCTGAACAATACATTTCAAAGAGCATAACAAACTATTAGATCTGTGTAAAATGTTGAATGACCATTATAATACATAAATTCATAGTTTTAAAATTTTATGGATAAATCTTTGACCTATTCAACCAAATGTCACATATAATGTAATCATTCTCCCAATATAAAAGCTTGAAAATCAATCAATGCAATATAAAACTGAATTCTGGTTGCACATAATTTTATTTTGTTCCTCTTCCCGCTTTCCCACTCCACATCCCAAAATGAAGCTTTCTATAGATGAAGTCAATCAATTCTTTTTTCACTAATGGCTATTTTAGATTAAAAATATCCTAGAGGAAATGATCTGAATGAGTTCACTTGATTTGAGAGGAATTACAATAATCAGAATATATAAAAACTCTTCAATTTATACTAGAAAAATCATATATTCAAACATTTCTATGATCTTTTAAATTAAAATACAGGCCAATTTTAAAGTAAATATGGAAAGAATGAGTTACCTTTTTCTTACAAACCCATGTGAATAAGCTTGGTAATCTGCTAGTTTCTATTGTCTAAATGTCTGCTTTTCTGCATTCCACATACTTAGCTTTATAGCCTATTTCTTTCATAAGCAGTTTTTGAACTATAGAAAAATCCATGCTTGTTCTGTAGGAATGCATAGTTGGAACTGGAACTCAAATCACGGGCTCTCCACATATTAGTTAATTCTCTGAGCCACCATAAACATAAGCAGTGACTTTAATAAAGTTGCTATTTATTGAATCTTTATTATGAATGAAAATAACTCAGACACACACACACACACACACACACACACACACACACACACCGTTCAGCAAAAGGTGGAAGCTCACACAGCCCTTTGGCACACTCACCTGGAGCACCATAGGGGTTGTGAAACTCCCATAACCAATGTCAAAAGTTAAAAGTTGAAAACATAAGCTGCATCTGAAATAAAACCACAGGGAACAAATTATATTCTATCTGCTGCATTTAACCTATTATTTGGAATTACATTATGAATACTCTAGTTACATTTCAAGGTCTGTAATAATTAAAAAGAGCAGTTTTTGGATCATCTAAGATTGCATACAATTTAGTTTTGGATTTGGAATCTGTTTTGTTTCTTACAGAAAATACAAATATATCTAAAGTATTCATAAAACATTAAACTAAACAATGAAGTTACGCTGTGAAAACCTGAATAGTCTCATTCACGTACAAAGCATGATAACGCTTAATGGAGTCACCCCCTCTTCTGGCATACTAGCTTTAACATTTCCCTAGGAAAAAGGCATTAGATGATATTCAAGTTAACTGAGATATGGACAGAGGAGTTATTGAATTTTGTTCATAAAAGCCTGTAAGAAAAAATATATCTAGTCAATGGTAAGTAGATGATAGAAATAGCTAAGCTTGAAAGGGGCTGCAACTTCAAAAATCAGTTGAAGTAACGTTGCTTTACTTCTTGTCACCCACTATTTAGATCCGGATGAGTCTGCAATGTGCTCTGATGTTTAGGATCTATAAACAAGGAAACAGAATGTTTTCCAAGAAGCACCTACGTGTGATAATTAAGTTATATTTTCACTAACAATCAATTTGTAGCAGGTAGGGTTTTTCTTTTTTTAACATCAGACTTTGCTTTCACCTGTGGAAGGCCTTCGGTCCCAGAGGAGACGTTTGGCTAAAAGCTTCGGCTGCCAGCAGGAGTTTGCTGATTGCTTCCTTCATGTTATCCAAAGCCTGGAGAGGCGAACTGGCCCTCAGGAATGTCTCAAAAAAGGTTTGCAGCTGTAACAAAGTAAATAGTTCATATGTTCAAACAGCATCTCAATTCGTCTCTCTATCATTTCCCAGGCGACCTATTTGAAAGATTCCTTTAGATTCTCTCTCTCTGTCACACTTAAAAACTCCTAATTAGGGAAGTTTGAAAATCTAAGATATATACAGTGGGGCCTTGACTTACGAGTGTCCCGACTAACGAGTTTTTTGAGATACGATGAGTTGAGAGCTAAAATTCGAGTTACGAGCCAGCTTCAGATACCCCACAGCTAGTTGGCGCAGCGAATGTCACAGTGAATGCCACAACATCAGCCCAGCATCACGTGTCTCACTTGTTCACTTTAAGATTTGACATACAAGTAATTTGAGTTACAAGCTCCGTCAAGGAAGTCAAGGAACGAATTAAACTCGTAAGTCAAGGCCCCACTGTATAGATATAGATATAGATATAGATAGATATAGATAGATACATAGATATATATAGATATATATATATAGCATATATAATATACATAAGGTATATTATATATAGAAAGAGTATATAATATTCTGCAGGTATATTATATAATGAATACAGGAGTAGGCAAAAGTAGGTTAAGAATAATAATAAATAGTACAATAATTAAATAAATAATAATACAAAAATAAACTGTTTTACATACAAATGTAAACCTACTTTGCCACCCATTTATATCATACATATATAACTAGAGGCCCGTTGCACGAAGAGATTCGTGCAATAGGCCTTCCCTTCCCCTGGCTGCCACCTCTAGTTTTCCTCCAGCACCTGGGACCCAGGCCTTCGCTCCGGCTTGGAGCCTTCCATCTTCGCTCCACCGCTTCTCGCCTACGTATGTAAATTAACCACCATCTTTGTTGGGTTAATTTGCATACTCTCCTGATTGGCTGGTGCACATAGCAGAGGGATGGTCAATTTACATGTTTGTCTATTATTAGGTAAGATACCTATAAATCTCACATATTTTAAAAATAGAAGCCTTTTAAATGAACATGGGGTGCCACTGCACCTTGTACTTTCAATTGCTTTAGGTCTAGATGCTTACTCCATGGTTTCCTCTTTCTGTGGCATCTCTCCATGGAGAGTGAAGTGAAACTGTAACAGGCTTCTGATCAGAACGCCCAAGTTTAATTTCTTACTCTACCAGCCAGATGACCTCAGACTTGCAACTCAATTCTCCAAATTTTTGTGTCTTCTTTAAAATGGGTTAGCACCTACCAGCAGAGTGCTATGAAACCAAATTAGGAGAAAATGTATTTGAAAGCCACGGGAAAGTATGAAATTCAAATCTAACTGTTTTGTTATTCACTTTTCCCCATATATCAGAATAAAAACAAGTATGCCAACATTGCTTCTTCACAGCATTTTGCTATGGGAGATCTATCCCACTATTAAAGAATCTAACAGAATCTTAGTGTTCTCCAACCATCCTATATAATAAAGAGGTATATGCTAATTAGACCAAACAGCAGAATGACCATCCAGACGACCTTCTGGACAACCTTCCAGATGAACTGGGGCTGCGAGGGCCAAGCCCCTTGCACAAATTTCGTGCACTGGGCCTCTAGTTATAAAATAAGGCTCCACTGGGATGGAGAGGATAGGAGAGTATTGCAAAAGGAAATGACCTCAGGTCTATGCCTTCTTAGAAATACTATAGTTGGCATCACAAATGGCTATTTTTACTTGCTTAACTATGAGAACAATTGCAACAGCCAAATTACTTCAAGAGGATGCTTAGCACCAGAGTTCAAGTCAAAAATTTTAAAAAGTCTAAAACAAATCTCATTAATTCATAGTCTTTGGATAGACATACTCTTTTCAAAGACTAAAAATATTTTTTTTACATCTGAAACAAATATTAAATAATATTGAATGCCAATTGTAATTGAAAAAAATTTTCAATTTAAAAATATTTTTTGTATAAACATGAAGCAGGTATTCTATTCATATTTTGGAAGAACAGACAACATCTATCTGAACTGCTTACAACTGCAAAAGGAAAAACTTTTGTTGCTATGGTAATGAAGGACAGATATTGGCACAAATCATCTGAAGGAAATGATAAATGTATCTTTAAAATATATAAGCAAAATTCCCCCAAGAAAAGCAAATACTGACTCCATAAACTTTTACCAGCAGAAAACAGAAACCTAATGAGATATATTCTTTAAGACCCTATGAACACATCATTAGCTTTGGCAAATGGGATGTTTTTCCATTTGGCTAAGAAAAATGAATGTAATAATTGAATGATCAAAGAAAACAAATTAATGCTAACACTAAAAATGTTAACACCCTTGAGTTCAAACAGAATAATATTATGCTTTTCCAAATAAAAGCAACTCATCATATTTCACTCACTTCACCATATCATGTAGAGTTATTGAACATATTATTGTATTTTCACATTTTAATGTTTCCTGAATATCACGAAGGTCAAGGTTAATAATTTAAGAAAGTTCAAAATGTTTGTGTAGCACATAAGACACATAAGATGAATTATCAGATTATATCCTCCATGGCAAAAAATAATAATCAAATGAATGTCCTGGGATTACATTTATTCTTTTACTGTGAAAATGATTATTTCTTAATTTCTGACTCTGAGCATTGAAAATGGTCTGCCAGTACATGAAGGCAGTGCCATTTAATTCAACTTTTGTTGAGAATTTCACTATGTGGAAATCATCATGCTCTGAGCTGTGGGGGACAAGTACAAAGCACAGAGGTAGCAGACTCAAGAGGCAGAAAGTCCCAGAGGCAAAACTTTGGCTCTATGTCTGTCGTTATTACATTGTGAGACTTTGTGGGATTCCATCATAGTGTCTACTTCATAAAGACATTGCTAAGATTAAATGAGAGAACATACATAAGTTACATCGCCACTGGCACATGTCAATAACTCACTACATTTTAGCTCCTTTTATTAATTAAAACAAGTCCACAGCCATTCAAAGGAAATTCAATTAGAGTGGTTGTCGAATTCAAATTCTCATAATGCAATGGATGATTTGGGAATGTCAAGCTGCCTCTGGGAATTCAAACGTTTGTGACACCAGCCAAGGAAGAATATTTAATATATAAAAAGCCTTTCAATAGAAATGTTTAAAAAAGAGTATAGAGGCATGATGATTGCACGGATCCCTCCTGTGGTACGCCGTCTAACAGAAATGAAAGAGCAAAACTGAAGGACCCAAATAACTGGCTTTTCTCCCATCTTCCTGCTAAGAGGACTAACACGAGCCAACGACCATGAATGCCGGGGACCAGGAAAGCCGGGGACCAGAACATAGCTGCCTTTATAAACAGACGTCTGAAGAGAGAAAAGAGAAGTGGCGCTCAGAAAGCATGATTCAAAATAGAGTGACTTGTTTTATTTTTGTGGGGTTTTTTTGTTCCCAATTTTTGTTTCTGTGTATATTTCCTTCTATCTCACTGCCTAGATTTCAATTCATTTAATTCAAAGAAAGTTCCAGTTGATTGACCGCTTCTATTGAATTTATTTAGTATAGTGGCAAGCAAACTACGGAAATGGAAGTAAACTCATGCTAGTGCTTAATAGATGTGTATTTTTTAAATCATCAGATTTCAGTAAGTCACCCAAAAGGGGCCCAATACTTCTATTCGTTTTTTTGTAGTTAATCCACATAGGCTAAGTGGAAGACTCCTTTGAGTGTCTGGTTGTATTATATTTTATTACGCTTATTTGTATTTCCTTGGTCAAATTACTTGAGTTCTGTGCATCTCAGTGTGCTCAGATGTAGAAAGAGAAAACCATGCTCAATGATCCCATCAGACAATGTAAAGTCTGAAATTATTTATTATTAACGGCACTCAAAACCGTAAGATCCTGAAAAACACATTTCACCTGGGAGCTTCCTTAACCCAGGCACAAATGCCCGAAGGAGTACCTTCACCTTCCTTGTTAATTTAAAAACAATCAAGTCATGAGCTCAGGCAACAAAGAGACTTCTCCCTCTCTAGGTCAAGACTTTGAATCAATGTTTTTGAGTTACACAAATATGAGAATTTAAGATCCCAAGGAAATCGGTGCCATAGCAGTGAGGTAAAAATGAACACAACAACAGCTTAAAACTTTTAACATGATATGAATCTATTTTATAAACTATAAACTGTCCTCCTTCAATGTAAAAATGAAGTACCAATTTAATGCAAAATAAATTATATAGAAAATGACTTTGTAAGATCATGGTTGCCAAATCTGGCAGTTTAAGCATCAACATTTGTTTACACTTGTGTTATATTCAAGGTATAACACAGTAAGGTATTTATAATTTTTACATCTATCCATTCAAGCAACTTACTAAAATATACATAAATGGATCAAAATTATCATTAAAATGAAAGGACAGGAGAAACTGAGATGTCGAAAATATTTGTATGAAAACTTCAGTTATGTCTTTGATATCTTAAAACACTTCTAGGTGCCCTTCTTTCTGCCTCATATTCTCAACCCATGTCTCACAGCCCCTCACATGCTAAATTCTGGGCTTTGCCTCATTACTTCCCTTCATCCTCCCACAAGGCCTTGGGCAAGTTGCTCTCAACGGCAACATGTGTTGTTCTGTGTTAAACTTGCTGAGTTTTTGTCTGCTTTTCACTAGATTATAAGATCTTTCAAGGCAGAAACTATATATTTTATCTTTGGGTGGTCAATACCTAATGCAGAGTCAGTATTGCATAAATACTGTTGAATAAATAAACCTAAGTTCAACATTACGGAAACTACAGAGACTTTGGAAAGAGAAATTGATGACTAGAGCTTCTGGATAACATAATTTTTCTCTTTCAGACAACATGTTTATGTCTTGTTTCCATTTCATGAGACAGGGAAGATATGTATTTTTCTGGTGTGTTGCAATAAAACCTTTGAAAAATAGAAGCTTACCGCTGTTTGAGGGGATTTTTGAGATAAGAAAATTTAACCTAAGAGTTAAAACAAAGAATGCAAGATTAACCAATACCA